ACCACTGACATTACAGGGTGATATCTTACGTTCTATGTCACAATAACAATTGTGGGGCAGCTCGCTGACAAAGTATTGGTGCGCCAGTATAGCGCCGGCGGATTCTCTATAGCCGTCGTTGATGGTGACGTTATGGGCGCGATCTACTGCCACTAGGTACGCTGCTTGCACGTCCTCAGAATACCACGCCCTTATTTTATCCAATAATTTCGTCACAATGCTTGCGTGACCGCCGTCGGCAGCCCACGCCAACACCGTCCAGCCATTGATACTGCGACTCTCCTTTACACGCGCTGTTGCTGCTAGTAGCTTCATGACACACAATGTATGACCGCTACTGGCAGCATACATCAACGCCGTCTTGCCATCCACGTCCGTGTGTTCTATGTTAGCGCCTGCACCTAATAACGCTGTGAGCGTATCCGTAAGACCGGTAACAGCTGCTGCTATTACTGCGGTGCTGCCATTCACATTCGCGTGTTCTATGTTAGCGCCCGCACCTAACAACGCTGTGAGCGTATCCGTATGACCGTAAGCAGCTGCTGCTATTACTGCGGTGCTGCCATTCACGTTCGCGTGTTCTATGTTAGCGCCCGCACCTAACAACGCTGTGACCGTATCCGTCTGACCGTTACGAGCTGCTGCTATTACTGCGGTGTTGCCATACACGTTCGCCGCGTGTTCTATGTTAGCGCCTGCACCTAATAACGCTGTGAACGTATCCGTATAACCGTTACGAGCTGCTGCTATTACTGCGGTGTCGCCATCCACGTCCGCGTGTTCTATGTTAGCGCCTGCACCTAACAACGCTGTGAGCGTATCCGAATGACCGTTACTAACTGCTGCTACTACTGCGGTCCAGCCATCATCGTTCGCGTGTTCTATGTTAGCGCCCGCATCTAACAACGCAGTGACCGTATCCGTATGACCGTTACCAGCTGCTTCTATTACTGCGGTGTCGCCATCCACGTCCGCGTGTTCTATGTTAGCGCCTGCACTTAACAACGTTGTGAGCGTATCCGTATGACCGTTACCAGCTGCTGCTATTACTGCGGTCCAGCCATCATCGTCCTCGTGTTCTATGTTAGCGCCCGCATCTAATAACGCTGTGAGCGTATCCGTATGACCGCTAATAGCTGCTGCTAGTAATCTGTCACCTGTGGGGGACGCTAGTAATCTGTAACATATGAGAAACGCTAGTAATCTGCGTATTCTCGTCGGTGGTCTCTCGGTCGTCTTCTTAACTGCAGTGGATTGATGGTTGCCCATATTCCTAGTGATATATTTCGCTTTTCGATACTAGAAATCTGGAGAAAAAAACATTTTATCTCTCGTAATTAAAAGAAGTTTCAAATTTGTTTCCTTTTCACACTGTACGCCAGCATGCGGCTGCGTTTGATTACGGAATGCACGTGTATAAACATTAACACCTAGTCATGACATACAAGTGACAAATCTGAACTAAAACTACGATAATTATCCGTGTATTTATAAAAGGGTTTAATTTCATAGATAAGAAGATTTAATAGATGTAAATATTTAATGTGGGGAAAATGCTTGTATATTTATGGGTGGAAAAAATATGCTTGTAACATTTTTTTTATCATGGAAAATCGAAAATGCCGTCAGAACAATTGCAAAGCGGACATGATTTAATAAGAGCAAACTTACTGTTTCTCTATCGTATTTCAGGCACGTGTAGCGGTAGCTGGCGACCCCTGGCGATGCTGATCACTGTCTTGACAGTGAAACCTGAGAAAACAGTACACCTGATGTGACAGTCTATCGTGTGAGACTGATGAACTAAAATCATATATATATATATATATACTAAGTAATGTTGGTAGTGAGATGTC